TGGGTGAGTTGGGGGACAGGGATTAAAGACAATATGATGGGGAAAAAAACTTAAATGTAGAATCCATCACCAGGTGGCAGTGTTGGCCAGCTTTAAATTTCTCAAAACTGCTGTCAAATTTGGTGATGCTAGATTTATATTTTCTACCACCGATTTTCTGATCCAATCGAATACTACACATCTTCCTGGATTTTCAGGTGGTGCTTTCAGGGTTGGGACCCTGTTTAATCTGTCTTTGGGACCAGCAGGGACTGGCCCCAGGGAAAGCAGTGTCCACCCCAGGTGGCCAGCACATGTTTGCTGGCTGACCCCTTTCCTGCCACGGTCTTTGTCTCAAAGTTGTTGCCTGAATGTAAACCCTCACATTTGGGTTGATTGAGTTGAGAGGCTGGGGAGCCCATGGAAGCATTCCTGAGGCCACAGGCAAAGAGAGCAAGAATGGTTTCAGCTTCTTTTGCTTTCTTGGAGCAGGAAAAAAGGGGACTGACAGCTCAGACCTGCCCAAAGACTGCTCCTTGGTTTCCCTTCCTCCCCTGTAGACTCTTGCAATGGAGGACCCAAGCATCCAGGGTGATCACTGCATGAACAAGTGTCTCAGCAAGGATACCCACAGCACTAAGACTATGAAAGGGACAGGGTGGGCTGCTGATGGGCATTAGGACCTTTGACTAGGAGTGAGTGGAGACTCATCTCTGCAGGTCTCTGCCAGAGGATGAACCCACCGGATGAACCATGAGGAAAAGTGGCCATTGGGCCTTTCTGGCACATGCGGGAAATCCACACACTGATCAGGATGACTGTCCTAGCTTGGGAGTTGGCTTCTCTCAACAGTGTTGGACTTGGCTGTCTCTTCCACTTTGCCCTCTGGAGTATAAGCCTCTTCCTCCTCCTGTTACCTCCCCACTGAGTCACCATTTGATCTCAAAGGGAACTCCAAGGGTGAGCTGAGAACCCTCTCTAGTTTTCCACCCCCTCAATTTTTTGTTTCATCCAAGTTGAAATACAAACCTTCCCAGGCAGAACTGGCTGCCATTCTCAGAAGCTGCTGGACCAGAAACCCATCAGACCATCAAGCCCTGGTTGCACTTCTGTCCAGGATAAAGCCAGTTTTAATTGGGCCAGCTTTAAAGAAAACCACAAACAGTGCTCCTGACTGCATCAGTCAGAGTGTGAGCTGAGACAGAGGGGATGTCTCTGTTGGAGACATCCTGGAGTTGATCTTGGTTTTCACCTCTTGTCTTGCTCTTTGGTGGTGAGCCCTCCCACCCTGTGGTTGCTGTGCATTGCTGGGTTAACCCTGCAGGGCATGGGGTGGGGCAATTCATCCACAGGGATTTGGTGCGCAGTGTTACAAGATGGGAGACAAAAGTTGTCTTGCAGCTGAATGGGAATCATTGAGCCCCCACTGCCGAAGTGGATGGATACAAACCTCCCCATGGGTCACTACCGCTGAGGTCATGGCAACACTGGGAAGTGGGAACCTGGGGGGAAGGTTTCCCTGACACCCTTCTGAAAGCGCTCCCAGACTCCCAGACAACCAAGTGTTCTCCTCCTTCCGACCTGCTTCAAGGCTCCTGTTATGGAATTTTGGTTTTGGTTTTGTTTTGCATTTCAAGTCATTTGAGCTGCTGTCTCTCTGCCTCTGCCCACCCCCGCCCCCGCCCCCGTGGTAATCTTGAGCTCAGGGGTTGTGTTTGGTTCATCCTTGTCAAGCTGTCAGCCCTTTGCACTGGGTTGTGCACACAGGAGTGGCTCCACAGATAACCTTTGCATGTCATTGAAGAGAAGTGCAGAATGAAGAGGACAGGAAAGGAAGCGATACAGAGTGGGTAAGCAGAGAACTTTGAAGGTTTTTGTGGAGGCACGTGACTTTACAAATTTGGTGAGTTAGTGCTAGGTCTTGCTGACTGGGGCAGGCAGTTCTCCCAGGTCCGTTATCAACAAAACTGTTTCTAGGAGCACCCAAGTGCTCTGAGTAATGTAGGTGGTTGGACCTAAGAAGGCAAATGGCAAAGGGGGTATTGGTGGGCTATACCCTCCAACATGAACATCAGACCTAAGATGTAAAGTAAACCCCAGCTTCCCATGGGAAACCTTCCAGGCCTCCCTACTTCTGCACCTGCCAATGTACAGCTTTCAATGCTAAGGGGCCTGTTGGGAAGAAAATGTGACCAGTACTGCCTGGATGGTCTGCTGTTCTCTCAGTACCACTGGGGCCCCATGGAAGCAGCCCTGTGGATATGGCTGGGGCAGGTGGACAGTGGCTCCACTTTATTCTAGTTCTGGGAGATATGCTTCCTGGAGGCAGAAATGATGGCCTTGGCCTTGGGGACCCCAGGGCTATGACACTCAGGAGGAAGCTTCCCAGATCATCTCTTGTGTAATGGGCTACAGGAAGTGCAATTCTGTACCACCTGAATTCTGAAATGCTTTATGTACACATAATTACTTCTCTTTACCCAACCTGAAGGAAACAAGAACTATGTACTTCTTTATTTTTTAAAGGTTTATTTATATATTTGTTTATTCGGGGGGGGAGGGGCAGAGGGCGAAGAAGAGAGAGGCCTAAGAAGACTCTGTGCTGAGCTGGAAGCCCAATACAGGGCTCAATCTCATGACCCTGAGATCACAACCTGAGCTGAAACTAAGAGTCCGATGCTTAACCAACTGCGTCACGCATGTGCCTCTGTACTTCGTTGTTTTAAAGTTGAGTCAATTCTATGTACTTTTCTCATTGTTCTCGTGAGGCTTCTTCCTCTGGAAGGCTACATGGGCTCCCTTATAGCACCACAGTTGAGTTCCAAGAAAGCTGGAGCTGCAGCTGGGGCCTAGATCTGGGTCTGTCTGAGCGGGATGCCTCCTTCGGTCCAGCATCAAAGCCATCCACCAGCCTGCATTCAAGAGGTGGGGGACAGGCTCCTCTCTCAATGGGGCAGCACACCATCCCCTATACACAGGGGATGAAGTGTCGGTGGCAGTCTTGGAACCCCCTGCCACAGTTATAATCTTCATTGACAATTTTATATTTTCTATTAAAAATGAAGATTCAGGCCACATGGGGAAGCAGCTACTGAGATGGGAGCGAGAGTGCTGGGTGTCAGTGCTGCTTTTCCACAGGCACACTGTGTGCTCTTCAGTAAGCCTGTTTATTTCTTTGGGCTCAGTTTCCTCATCTGTTCCACCAGGGGGTTGGTCTTTGGTGGGACTTGATAGTTGTAGATAATTTTTAAACTAAGTAAAAAATGTGCTTGGCACAGAGCAAGGCACATGCGTACTGTTATAGCTATTTCACTCTTCACCAGCCTTAAAATCCCCTTTTCTCTGGCAGGAGGCAGGCATCTCTCTCTCTCTCTCTATCTCTCTCTCTCTCTCTCTCTCTCTCACACACACACACACATGCACACACAGCAGGGCCTGGAGCTGACTTCCAGTGGAAGCTCCTCGGAAATATTCTCCTCTGCCAGGTCTTTCCCTCTGCAGATCCTACAGCTAACAGGAAGGACTCTTTCCCAAACGCAAAGAACTCAACCAACCAGTTTTCTAAAAATCCTCTTTCTCCTCTGTTTGCCTTCTTCATTATGCTTTTACATCTTGGGTGTTGAAATATTTAAGAATCTGGTTGAGACAAGATTCCATGAGTTTCCCGACAACACCGCCTCCACTACTGAGCTTCCCGTGTGCCTATTCCAGGCCAGACTTTCCACAGATCTTACTGCATTTAATCTTGACTTCTGCCCTGGGGAAAGAGATATTACTCCTATTTTCTAGGAAAGGAAAATGAGGCACAGAGAGTTTAAGAAACTTGCCCAAGGTCACAGAGCTAGAAAAGCCAGGGTCTGAGCCCAGGCCACAGATGCTGGAGCAATGGGAGAAACCCCTATGTTTCCAAATCAGCCAAGGCAAATTGTGCATTTGCTACGCTTATACCCGACCCCCCCCCCCCCCCCCCGCCCCGCGGTGACTCCCGAGGGACCTGAGGCTGGCAGCTGGCTGCTAAGAGCATCAGACCTTGGGCCAGGGTTTGAGCATCAGACCCCAGACCAACATCGTGGCCTGAGGACAACTAACCAGCCCGTTTGGCCCACGGGGGCCACTTATGTGTGTGTTGGAGGGTGGGGGTACAGGTCGGCCTGGCAAGGTGGCTCACTCTCAAGGGCCTACCAAAGGATTGATATTTTGACTTCAGCCCCTGAAATGCTGAAAGGACCTAACTTCGGCGGTCCCTCAGACCCACCTGAGCGCTTCCCTCCACCAGTCGCTTACATTCTGCGCCGCCTCCTTCCCATAGCACACGGTTCAGGCGCCAGGGGCCCGGAGCCTGCGTCCCGCGACGCACGTGTCGCTGGTTTTTGTTTTTGTTTTTGTTTTGTTTTTGCTCGGCTCAGCTGTTGGGTCTCCAAGACCCACAAACTGAAACCAAAACAGCCCGACGCCCGGCGTCAGGACCGGAAAGCAAAGACAAGGTGGGCGCACTCCCCGACGCCCCCTATTCCTCCGCGCACCTCTTCTCTAAGGCAGGAGAAGAAGGGGTGGGGTTCGGGGCAGGCTGCGGGAGGCAGCTTCCTACGGCACAGGCGCCAGGAGAAGTGGGTGGTGGCCAGAGGGAGGAGACGGGGCGGGGCCCGCGGAGACATTAAGGGGCGGCCCGGGCTCGCAGCACCCGCTTGGGGCTCCGAGTGCCTCCGGGCGTCTGGCGAGATGGCGGCGGCGCGTGGCCTGGGCCGCAGCGCGGGGCGGCTCCTGGGCAGCCTGTGCGGGCGCTCGGGACAGCCGGTGCGGGAGCTGCGCGGGGTGAGCGCCCCCGCCGCCGCCGCCGCGCAGCCGGGCTCGTACCAGGCGCAGAGCGCACAGGCGGCCCGGGATCCGGCCGCTTTCTGGGGGCCGCTGGCGCGGGACACGCTCGTGTGGGACACCCCCTACCACACCGTCTGGGACTGTGACTTCAGCAGTGGCAAGATCGGCTGGTTTCTGGGAGGCCAGTTAAACGTGTCTGGTGAGTGGGCTGCGGGGGATCCAGGGCGCCCCCAGCTCACGAGTCCCGAGGGCACTTAACAGCCGTTCCCGGCTTGGCGGGTCACGGCCCCCCGGGAGGCCCCACTTCCAGGCTTCTGCTTGTCGCGCTCTCAACCGTGGCGCCTCGCCGCCCCCGCCCCCATCGCATCCGGCCCCGGACGCTCCAGCCCCGGCCGCTGCCACCCCGCGCCCAGACCCCACCTTCCCGGCTGCGGCTCCCGCCTGCGGAGACCCGGCCCGGCGTCAGCTCGAGTCGCCCAGCCGTTGGCCTTGCCCCAGAGCGGCTCCTCAATCGACTCTCTCCAGAGTTCAGCTGCGGGGTTCCACTGCACTGCGAAGTGCGCCAGCACTGCTGCGGGCTACCCCTGGGCCAGGCTGGGGTGGAGGGCGCGGGGCTCGCAGGTGTCGGCCGGGACTTCCCCACTTCTGTCCCTGGGAGAGGCAAAAACGAAAAGCGCCTGACTTGTCACCTCCAGTTGCGGTGCCCAGAGACTTGCTTGGGGAGATACTGCCCATGTAAACAAATCGAGTGGCAGGCAGCGGGGGAGGAAAAAAACTCCGCCAGCAGTAGGAATCAGTTATCTCCTTGCTCCGGGCTTGTGGGCGGGAAAGAAGGAATGGGTGTCTCCCAACTGACAGTTTAAGCTGCGTCCCGCCTCCGAAGACCCAGGGCTTGCTTTAGACCTGGTGGCAATTGAGATCCCAGAAACCAGCTCCACCAGCCAGTCAATCCTCTGGTACCTGCTGAGATTGAATCCACTTGTGTTTCCTTAAGATTTGGAATGGGGAGTGGGTACACTGTACCCTGACGCCACAAGGGGAGAAGGTCCAGGGACTGGAGACTGGAGGCAGTAACGGCCAGGCAGGGAGGGCCTGGGGTTGGTCTCCCAGGGCAGGATGGGACTTGCAGTCAGGTGTGGGCTGCCTGCTGTCCCAGACTGTGGAGTTGGATGGGGTCTACGAGGTGTTTAAGGAAAGGACCTGCAGATCTTCATGGCTGAACTTCTAGGTAGGATCTGCTGTCTGGCACATCTCCACCACGTACTGGCCCAGTTTTTCTACTCCTCTGAATTCCAGTCTCCCCGCATATAAACCGTGGGCGATAATGCCCACCTGCTAGTCTGGTTGTGAGGACACAGTGCCAGAAGGTGTGGACCAGCCCAGCATTTAGCGGTGATCAGTAAGTAGTAGTGAACTTAATTTATTATGTTCAGAAATAGCCATAAAATTATGGATAGTGTGTTGCAGTTAACTTTCAAACAAAGAAGCTTAAGGGAACTTTGGACCAGATATATGTTTTTTTCGTATTGTATATTACTTTGCTGGTTTAATCAACGTGAGTCACTTACTAGATAAGTGTTTTCTCTAAAATTGAGTCAGCAGCATGTGTCCTTGAACTAGTGGGAAGAAAACCAAACCTTTAGTTTTGTGGGGTTGATGGAATGTGCCTTTGAAGGGGAGGAGAGCAACTCACAGCAGGAAGGCACATAGAAAGTGCAGCTCCTTGAGGCTGCTTCTGGATGTGGGAAGACTGAGGCCACTGTGAACATTCCTGGCTGGCTTGTGTGCACTTGCCACCTCTCACTCTTTGATAAGACAGTGGGGACAGACCTCATGGGGCAGGCGCCAAGGGCCTGGTGAACCTCACTCAGTCAGGGCCGGGTGTGGTCAGCAAGCAATTCTTCTGCTTCTTCTTCCTTTGCTTATTTCTTCTTTATGGCTACATAGGCAGCAGCTGAGCTTCAGAAAACTGTTGTGTAGAAAGACAGCTTTTTGCAGCTTCCTACCTCTAGTGCATATGCCCACCCACTCATCTATCAGGAATATCTCTGCCCTTTGCCAGTGTCTGCAAACCACAGAGGTGCTGGTATGGAAAAGGGCCAGGCCAGGCCGGAGCTGCCCTGGCAGCCGCTGAAAAAGTTGTGGGATGGATGGGGGGTGTTTTGGCCTGATTTGTAGTCAGCACAATGATGGCTTGTTCCAAAGAAGTATTGCTCTCAAAACTGCCATTACTCTTTCAAGAGGATCTGCACTAGCAGTTCTCAAGGTGAGGTCCCCACACTAGCAGCATTAGCATCATCTGGGAACTTTTTAGAAACACAAGTTTTCAGACCCATCCTAGACTGTCAATATCAGAAACCCTGGGAGTGGGGCTCTGCCATCTTTCTTTGTTTTTCTTTTTTTAAGATTTTATTTATTTGAGAGAGAGAGAGAACATGAGAGGGAGAGGGAGAGGTATAAGCAGACTCCACAGTGAGTGTGGAGCTCGACACGGTGCTTGATCTTACAACCCTGAGCCAAAATCAAAAGTTGGATGCTCAACCGACTGAGCCACCCAGGCCCCACATCTGTGTTTTTAACAAGTCCTCCCTGTGCTCCGGATGCACATTCAAGGTGGAGAACAACTGACTTGTAAATCCCAGACCAGTGCAGATGAAGGCACTTCTAAAATGGGTAGGATTGGGATTAGCATCCTGGAGATGACTCTTTTAAGCCAACAAAAATGGTACATGGGTGATGCAGTACAGTCAGTGGTCTAGGATGTGTCTAGAGTCACACCTAGGTTTGAATCCTTGCTTTCCCCTTACTGCTCTTTGCATGCATCTCCTCATCTGTAAAGGAAGGATAGTGTGTAACCGAATTCTGTTCTAGTTGCTAGTGTTACATATCCAACCACCCCAAGCTTAGTGGCATAAAGCAGCAACCATCTTATTAATCTCTAGGATTCTGTGGGTCAGGACTTTGGACAGGGCCTGATGGGCAAGCCCTAGGGGATGGCTTGTTTCTGCTCCTGAAGGCTATCTGGGGCTGTTGCACCTGCCCTGCTTCTCACTCCAAAGTCTGGGGCCTGGGCTGGGATGACTGTAGACTGGGCTCAGCTGGAACTGTGGTCTGAAGCACCTACACAGGGCTTGTCACAGCATGTCACTGGGCCGGGGGACATGGGCAACCAGAGGTCTCAGAGACCAATACTCAGACCAAGACTCAGAGCCAAGCTGCTCGGCTTCTTCTGACCAGCAGTGTATGACCTGGGGACATCTGGGGCTGTTGCTAGCGTCAAATGAGAAAACGCTTGTAAAACATTACTTGCACCTAGTCACTGACTTTTGTTATTTATTAATGAATCATGGGGAAGCCTGTGACCCTGAACTTGGCCTTTAGCAGTGTTACTAGAACTCTGTTTCCTCTGAACAGAACCACATGGATTTGCATATGATCAGTCTTGGATAAGTGGGAAGCAGGCTAGGAAGGCATGCAGGTGGCCAACATGGCTCTCAAAGTCCATCCTGGAGCTCTGGGATAGCCAGGTCACCAGGTGGAGTCGTGGTATCAGAGGCCCCCTGGGCAGGGCAGGTAGAGCCTCCAGTTGCTTCTATTACATTTATGTAAAACGGCTTTGCAGAAGGTTCTTTGGAAAACCAAGATCTAAAAAGGATACTTTTTTTAAATTAGGTTTTTTATTTTAATTCCTGTATAGTTAGCATACAGTGTTATATTAGTTTCAGATGTACAATATAGTGTGATTCAACAATTCTATGTTACTCAGTACTCATCAAGATAATGTACCCTTAGTCCCCTCCACCTATTTCACCCATCTCCCATCCCCTCCCCTCTGATATTTGCAAATCACATAGCTGATAAAGTGTTAGTATCTAAAAAGGGTTCTTAGTCTTTTGAAATTTGGCTGTCTTTCCCAGGGCTCAGTGGGTAAAAGTTTGTGCTTTGTTGCACATAAGCTCAGGATGTTAGGAAGTTGAGAATGCAGAACTGGAGGTTAATGACATGTGTTGCTTTCAAAACTCACAACTAAATTTTGTTTTCTTTCTTTTTTTAAAAAAATATTTTATTTATTTATTTGGGGGGGAGGGGCTGAGGGAGAATCAGACTCCCCATTGAGCAGGGAGCATGACTCCTGTTGATCCCAGGATGCTAGGATCATGACCTGAGCCAAGGCCGACGATTAACCAACTGAGCCACTCAGGCGCCCCCAAATTCTGTTTTCAAAGACCAAATTCTGAGTCAGATTAAAAAAAAAAAAGTTTTCTTACTTTTAAGCAAGGGTGTAGAAAAACTATTTTTACTTGACCATTGAGGGCAGAGATTTCTGGATACTTTTTGGAGCATGAATTGAAGCTATGGAAACCATTTTGCTGTACTTTCCTCCTCTTTCTGGTTGCACCTCCCATAATTCAGAAGGCAGACACACTGAGAGTGGCAAGATGCTGCATTTCTGCGCTTCATTTTTCTCTCAGTGATTGAAATGACTTTTTTAAAGTCTTTCAAGGTAGTCTAAATATGGAAGTATAACCCCTGGTCTTAGGAGGGTCCTCCTAAAGAGACTGAATTCTTCCCAGTTGTAAGATGCACAACTTACTTTAAATAGCAGATGCTTCTGGAAAGTTGGCAAATACAATTTGTGACTGATGTAATTTCTTAAAATGTGCCAGGGAGATTTTCTATTTAAAGAAAACCCATTGTGAATCCCTTGGTGAATATTAACTCCCTCATTTCTTTTGATTAAAATTGAATTTCCCTATGTGGGTTCACTTAAAGTTGGGAAGGGGAAGAGATGTTTTTTTTTTTATTTTTTATTGTTATGTTAATCACCATACATTACATCATTAGTTTTTGATGTAGTGTTCCATGATTCATTGTTTGTGTATAACACCCAGTGCTCCATGCAGAATGTGCCCTCTTTAATACCCATCACCAGGCTAACCCATCCCCCCCTCCCCTCTAGAACCCTCAGTTTGTTTTTCAGAGTCCATCGTCTCTCATGGTTTGTCACCCCCTCCGACTCACTCCCTTTCATTCTTCCCCTCCTGCTATCTTCTTCTTTTTTTTTTCTTAACATATATTGCATTATTTTTTTCAGAAGTACAGATCTGTGATTCAACAGTTTTGCACAATTCACAGCGCTCACCATAGCACATACCCTCCCCAATGTCTATCACCCAGCCACCCCATCCCTCCCACCCTCTACCACTCCAGCAACCCTCAGTTTGTTTCCTGAGATTAAGAATTCCTCATATCAGTGAGGTCATATGATACATGTCTTTCTCTGATTGACTTATTTCACTCAGCATAACACCCTCCAGTTCCATCCACGTCGTTGCAAATGGTGAGATCTCATTCCTTTTGATGGCTGCATAATATTCCATTGTGTATATATACCACCTCTTCTTTAGCCACTCATCTGTCAATGGACATCTTGGCTCTCTCCACAGTTTGGCTATTGTGGACATGGCTGCTATAAACATTGGGGTGCACGTACCCCTTCGGATCCCCGCATTTGTATCTTTGGGGTAAATACCCAGTAGTGCAATTGCTGGGTCATAGGGTAGCTCTATTTTCAACTGTTTGAGGAACCTCCATACTGTTTTCCAGAGTGGTTGCACCAGCTGGCATTCCCACCCACAGTGTAGGAGGGTTCCCCTTTCTCCGCATCCCCGCCAACATCTGTCGTTTCCTGACTTGTTAAGTTTCGCCACTCTGACTGGTGTGAGGTGGTATCTCATTGAGGTTTTGATTTGGATTTCCCTGATGCCGAGCGATGTTGAGCACTTTTTCATGTGTCTGTTGGCCATTTGGATGTCTTATTTGGAAAAATGTCTGTTCATGTCTTCTGCCCATTTCTTGCTTGGATTATTTGTTCTTTGGGTGTTGAGTTTGATAAGTTCTTTATAGATTTTGGATACGAGCCCTTTATCTGATATGTCATTTGCAAATATTTTCTCCCATTCTGTCAGTTGTCTTTTGGTTTTGTGGACTGTTTCTTTGGCTGTGCAAAAGCTTTTTATCTTGATGAAATCCCAAGAGTTCATTTTTGCCCTTGCTTCCCTTGGCTTTGGCGATGTTTCTAGGAAGAAGTTGCTGCGGCTGAGGTCGAAGAGGTTGCTACCTGTGTTCTCCTTTAGGATTTTGATGGACTCCTGTCTCATGTTTAGGTCTTTCAACCATTTGGAGTCTATTTTCGTGTGTAGTGTAAGGAAATGGTCCAGTCTCATTCTTCTGCATGTGGCTGTCCAATTTTCCCAACACCATTTGTTGAAGAGACTGTTTTTATTCCATTGGACATTCTTTCCTGCTTTGTCAAAGATGAGTTGACCATAGAGTTGAGGGTCCATTTTTGGGCTCTCTAATCTGTTCCACTGATCTATGTGTCTGTATTTGTGCCAG